TGCTTGCCTTTAAAGAGACCAAGGTTCAAATCCCAGTGCATGCCTTTTTATGAATAAATAAATAAGAAAATAAGCAATTGTGAAGACCAAAATGTCCTTCCTATAATCACTCTCGTTGCAGGAAATTTGAAATGGAGCAACAGTTTTCAGCATTCGGCTTTTATTTATTATCTAGATATAGTAATACTAATATTATCCTTGCGACTTGCGTGATGACTAAATCAGACCCAGACAAACTCTTGTGAAGGAGGAGGAGCTTTGCTGAGACCGTGAGACACATGGAATTTTGATTTGTACTGATCATTACGTATAATATAATAATAAAAAAAATGCTAATCTTGATGATTAATCAAAGATCAAATCATACATACAACTACTTGAGAACAAGATCTAACGTCTTTGTTTCACTTTTACTTACATATGAGATTGTTTTTGTTTTTGCTTTGGGAGATGTTTGCTAATTGTATGTCTAGTGATTGTTAATTAGAATCTGATCTCTAACACTAATTGATGTCTATATATCCTTGTCAAAACCTGAAAGTCAAACAAACAATTCTACTTCATTAAACATATAACCTCTTGAACATGAACTAATTTGTGTTGGTAAATCCATTACGTCAGGTTCCAGTTCTTACAGTCGAGTTGGAGGGTCTTCTCATTATCCAAAGGTTGTAAATCGGCGACTATATAATCATCTAAAGTGCAGATATCGCATCTATGTTGTGAAATTCTAATGGAGGCGATAAGGATTGGTGGCTTTGAGTTTCTCTCTTCTGCATGACAAGATTTGAATAGATCGGCCAATTAATACCAGAATAGATCACTCTTAAAACAAAAAACAATTTTACCAATGTATACTTAGCTCAGGTTTCTTTTGCTAAGCACATTGACTATCCTATAATGCAAAAAAATGTTGCAAGTTGCACATATGGTGGATTGGATATACTTGCAAAAAGCTTCAAGAGAATGAGACGAAACCAGCTCCACTGGACTAATTAAGTAAACTATGCATTATTGTTTATGATCTAATTATTAGTTGATAATGCCAATCTCCAATTAAGTAGGGCATGGGGGATCAAGGAACAGCCACCAAAATTAACTTATTCGATGGATGCAGTGAAGTTGACAAACAACAAAAGTCTGTCCTAAAAAAAAATTAATTATTGAATGGACTCAAATTGATCATAGAACTGGTTTGACCTGGTAGTTAGACACATATTATCATCATCCAACTTAAACTGAAAGGGCACCAGCTTGGAGTTCAGCTTTTCCCTGTATAGTACTCTATTAATAATATAACCATCTTTTTTTTAATTTTAATATTTTGTTTCCCATTACCTTTGATGAAATAGAAGTATAGAAATGTGCTGTGCAGAGCCAAAGAGCACGACAAAGATCCATATGCCGACACCTTCTTTCTTTTCTCCCAACTTCAAAAAAAGTTGACAATGATTTGTGTTCGAAGGAACATGGATTGGAGCGAGCTGGCTTCGTCTAGGATTTAAGTAGTGATTAGTGATTAATTTTTTTTTATGATTGACTTAATTAATGTAAAAATGAGACGTCCATTTGGCAGTTGCTTATGGCAACGGATCACTCAGTAAGTAGTAATTATGCCTTCTTTTTTCTTCCTTAGCATAATTGCGTCTCCAGAACTAGAAGCTATGGCGGGAGAGCCGGAGAAGGACTAACGTGTCTTCATTAATTGTTACGGCGGGATTTGTTTTCATTTCCTTTTGAGAAAACATTTTTTAACCTACAAACAACGTTAAGCAATATAATTCACACAAAAGGCTCCAATCTGTTACAGCCTGTTTGGATTGACAAAAAAGTAAGGAATTGGAATTCCATTTCCATATATTATGTTTGGAATAATAAAAAGGTTGAGAATTGAATTCCAATGGGTCTAAAATATGGGAATTACAATTTCTATCAAAAGTGATAGGAATTGAGAAAATGAAGATGGAATTAGTGGGACCCATCAATACTTTTTATTATTTTGTTGACCCACTATCATTTTACTCTCTTTCTCTCTCATTCATATTTCATTTCCCAAAATAAAACAAACATATTACATTATTCATTATGGTTAAAAGTGCAATTCATTTCCATAGTTGCAGGAACTATACCAAACACTAGAATTGGAAATGGAATTCTATAAAAATAAAAAAAATTGAATTCCATTTCCATTTCCATTTCTTCCGGAATTGTATCCAAACAGGCTGTTAGGAAATTGGATCAATTTCCATCAAAGAGTTAATTAACCAGGGTTCGTCATCAACTTCGAGATCTCACCAAAGTTCGTCCATCAAACTGGGTTTAGTTTATCAAGCGAAACTCATTTTCTTCTTTTGAATGGTTACGGCAAGATCAAGAGATTTTGTATTTATTTTAAATTCTCGCGTGGGTTTAATCTGACATGCTAGAATTTTGTTTGTGGCTTCTTCTTTCTTTGCTTTTGTGAATTTTGTTGGACCAGTATGGTCCACTATAGTTTAATTTGCAAAATCAAATTATTGCTATATTATTGAGAGAGAGGCGCCATCAAGCTACAGACATCTGCCTCAAATTTGTAAATCCCGTGGACTAATGTCCGCTAAGACCAACTTACAAGAAACCAATGATCCCTTTTTTAACCACTTGCTTCAAAACCGACGATATATATGTTCCTGATAACAATAAAAAAAAAAAACATAATGCGTTTTCAAACAATTCCAAATGCTTATTAAAAAAAAAACAAATGCTTAACCAATGGAAGAATAAGACAGTCACAACGTACCCTTTGATCATATCTAGTCATCATTGACTCTTCCAACTACAGTTCTTTTTTTTTTTTTGGTGAAATCCAACTACAGTTCTTACCTGACATGCTCAAAAGTTTTCATATATATATATATGGATGAAACTGGTGTATTCGTAGAGTATGTAGACCATAGATTATACTATATTTTGGGTACTGCTTGTAATCTATTTCTCTCAACATAATGAATTGAAATCAGTTTGAGATACGATTTCATATCCTAATCTATAATGGATAAATCTCAGTATCTGATTCACTAAATTCAAAATAAAAAATCAAGCTAATAAAAAATAATGGTATACTCTACGAGGTATAACGAAGTAAATCCAACGATCAGATCACTTGAATATGGTATACTCTACGAGTGCACCAATCGTTACCGTATATATATGATCTTATCGTTTTCTTTTTTATTTAATTACGTTGGAAAAAATACGGTTAGTATTCTTCCCATAATTTAGGCCTTGATCTTCCTCAACTTGGTACAGGAAAAAAAAAAAAACAAATTTAGCCAATGAAACTAGGTTGCCTTAATTTTTATTACAGTACGAACTTATTTTAAGAATATGCAAAGCCGCTTCAAAACTGCTACTTAATCGCAAAAAACAAGCAGAAGTCTTTCTCTAGACTCTTTCCTAGGCTCGTTTTTTTTTTTTTTTTTTGTGTTGATGGTGAGAGAGTTATTTATTTTATTATTATTAACCTTGATTTGTTAATATATAAGTGCCGACCAGATAGATAGAGTGATTGATGAGGAGGATAACTTAGGACATGACACTCAAGAGACCTAAACCAATATGTGCACTAATCTAATCTAATCTAATCTGCATGGAGAACTAGTTGTGATTATTTAACTCCTTATTTAGTGAAATTAATCCTCAGAATCGATTTCATAGGGTTGAAACAATTGGCGCTATAACATATATTATATTACAGTAGGGCTTAGGGTGGGATAACCAACCTAGCTAGCTAAGAATTAATTAGAATGCTCACATGAGATCGAGAACATAATTTCATGAGGTAAAGATTAGCGTACGCTTGGTGTATGGTACATGTATGCGTTTTTACCATTTTTCATGTACTTTGATTGACTTCGACGAATCAAAACTATTAACTATTATTTTTAGATTAGATAAATTTTTAGAGAACTGGAATGAAGTTCAATCATTCTTCAATGAAAAAACACTTCATCCATTAAAGGTTCATGTAGTATATTATCCTGTCTCAATTCCTGGACAGACTCCAATCTGAACGATTTTGGTTTAGACGTTTAGCCCAGATAATTCTCTTTATATAGAATTTAGTCCAGATATTGCAAACTAAAGCCTACTCATCTTTTTCCATATGCTAATACTACCATGCCAAAGTTATACCAGGGCAATTTTTTTGGCCAAGGACTGACCCAGTGTTGATAAGGGCCGGAATCTGTATGTGCTTGGCCAGGCCAGGCCACGACCAAAATAGGGAAGGCGGCCCAGGATAGGCCCAACGGGAATCCAACTGGAGGATGGCCTATTACTGTTACGGTAGGACATTGGATAGCTGGGCCCAGCACGTTTAAACTTAACCAGCCCGAGTGATGATTCTAGCAGGCCCAGAATGAAGGATAGGGCCCGTTTCGCTGATTTCTCTAAAACATAGTGAGATAATGCTGCGAGCATTATTGGAAACTGTCATCGCCATCTTACAATTACTGATTTTTGAAAACTCGAAAATACAATTGCTCAATGCAGTTAGGATACGATGACAGATGAAGTTTCCAAAAATAAGAAAAATGTTCATGGAGTGAATTATTCACTCTGAAAGCATATTGGTTAAACATCTAACTTCTGAATTCACGTTACGAATTGTGTGTTTTGATTAGAAATTCGCGTTGATTTTTATCGGTTTTCTCTGGAACAACAGTAATAAATGACAATAATAACTCTTGTTAGGATTTACAATTTACGAGGTTAAAAAAACTTACCAAGTACGTTGCAACCCACCGATAAGATCACATTGGGGGAGATAAAGAAGTAAGAAATTAATTTTCACCAAAAATAAAAGAGTAAGAAATTAATACTGAAACTTCCATTTCAACATAGTTCCAATTTTGCAATCAATGTCCTTTCACGGCAATCTCAATTTCAAAAGCAATTAAAAAAGGGTTTTCGTTTTCCCCAGGAAAGGCTCCGAACTCCTGACCCGACCCAACAGCGACGTCATAAATATAATCCTTAAATAAACCAAACCAAAACATACATCTGTATGTGTGTGTCTGTAACCGCATTGCCATTCCCAAATCGGCGCCATCTTCTTCTTCCTCCTCTCTCAATCTTTACGTGAATGTTCTTATCCCTCCTGTTCATCAATCCAACGCCAAAGAACCGTCGAGAATCGGTTTCAATTGGGTCGTAATCGTGTTCTCATCATCCCCACAAACCCCAACATCAAAGGTGGGGTGCACACAATTCAGATTCAATAATGATCCACAATCGGCTGCCGCCGACCCCGACAGCGACGAAGCACAAGGCCGACGACAAGCCGTTTCAATTCATCTCCATCGTCGGGAAATCCCTCATCCTCCTGTTCATCCTGTCCTTCATCTCAATCGGCCTCTACACCGCCTTCTACGACCCCAAGAGCGGCGGAATCACCCCCACCGCCGCCTTGCACCGCCTCCACTCCTCCATCGCCCGCAACAACGCCGCCGCCGCCGACCACCGCCGTCGGGACCCTAATAACAACTCCCCGACCAACCTCTCCCACCTTCTCTTCGCCCTCAGCGGCTCCAACGACACGTGGGACGACCGCAGCAAGTCCAATTCCGTCTGGTGGTCCCCCAACCGAACCCGGGGCTTCGTCTGGCTGGAGGACGTCCAACGACCCGACTCCTCACCCGCCCCGAACTCCGCCCCGACCCGGGTCTCCTCGCCCGAATGGACCCGGTTCGGGTTCTCCAGCTCCCGACCCGCCGTCCGGATCGCGCGGACGATCACCGATAGCTTCGGCCTCAAACTGCCAGGTGTACGGTGGTTCGTGATGGGCGACGACGACACCGTCTTCTTCCCGGAGAATCTGGTCTCCCTGCTGGCTAACTACGACCACAACGAGATGTGGTACATCGGCGGGAACTCCGAAAGCGTGGAGCAGGCCGTGATGCACTCCTACGAGATGGCGTTCGGCGGCGGCGGGTTCGCCATCAGCTACCCTCTCGCCGAGCTCCTGGTGGAGAATCTGGACCGTTGCCTCGAGCGCTTCCACTATTTCTACGGCTCTGATCAGAGGATCTGGGCCTGTATCACCGAGTTAGGTGTGGGCCTCACCCCTCACCGTGGATTTCACCAGGTACGTTCCGTCTTCTCCGCTCCTCTTGACACGTGTCCGAACTCTCTCTGTTTTTTAGCTTAACTGTGCCTTGGTTTGACCGTGGTTAAAAGTTGGGTAAGTCGGAGTAAAATCCGGTAGCATATAAAATTTAGGTGGGAATTGACACGTGTGAGAACATCGGGTATCTGTTCTTCTTTGGCTTAACCTTTTGGGGGGCCGCCAGCGCCACAAAAAGGCCATCAATCGTGTCAGAGAAGTTAAAGCGATTATGGATGTGCTATAGTTTTGGGAGGGGACGTGGCAACAGCCGATTGAACGGGAATTGTTGTTCGTTGGCCCATTCCCCGTTCAAAATACGCTCCCTCTTAACCATAAGTTAGTTGACGTTATTCTCGGGAAAATAGACTTATGACTCATCCTCCTCCCACCAATGACTAATCTCGAGTAAGTCAGCCAAATTAGAGTCGTTTGGATGTGGAAATTTGAAAACGTTGGAATTTGTCTGAATTTCCATGTTTTAGAAAACCAAGGAATTGACTTGTGAAAATTGGGGAAAAAATCACGTTTGGATAGGGTTTAGTTTTGTGGGAATTGATGGTGTGAAATTTGGAAAAAGAAGTAAGAAAACGTGGTAATGTCAAATTATTAGGGGGAGGTGTAGTATTCTCAATTACCATGAATGTGGTAATTGAAGCCAATTTCCATGGTCCAATTCCCATACCCTTTTTGTTCTTCCAAACGTGGGGTTTTAACCCAATTACGACTCAATTACCACATTACATTTCCACATCCAAACGACCCCAAACTTCTTTTATAATCTTATCATCAATTGCATTTGTGTTAGAGTAAGCTTAGGTGTTTCGGTGGTAAGTATGTATTTGAAAATACAAGTATTTCAAAGCTTAATCCTGTATTTCATACTTCAAGATATTACATTTTGGGTTGTAAGACTATAATGAATCCTTGAAATCATTGATTTTACTCAAAGATGGTGTGAATACGCGATAGTACGTATTTAAAGTTGTAACATCACATAGGGACTCATAAAGCCACACAAATGTTCCCGTTGTTTAGGGATTTAAAAATGAGCGGGCACATGAAAGAGGGGCCTGCAGAGTTAAAGCAGGCAATGATAGTGTCCTTATTTAATGTACTATGTTTTCTGTCCTCCATGCACGTTCAACCATCAAACATAAACAAAAACAGTCCTTTATTAGGACCATCATTCACGCACTCGGCAATGGACACCTAGGAAAGCTAGAACAGGGCAAAAAACAGAAAGAAAAGGTTTCTTTAAATCCTCTGCTTTTCACCTTTCTGGGTTGTTTGATTACAGGTTGGTTACTTAACAGAGTTGGTCACGTATTTGTACTCCACCGTTTCCTTTACTGACCTTATGGTGTTTGATCAAATTACCTTTGTACACAGATGGACATCAGAGGGAGTGCATATGGGCTACTGGCAGCGCACCCAATGGCGCCATTGATCTCCCTGCACCATCTCGGCGCAATGGACCCACTCTTCCCCGGTCAGGACCACTTGGCCTCGGTGAGGACACTCTACCGGGCGTATAAGGCAGACCCTGCTAGGATACTGCAGCCATCCTACGGCTACGACCACCACCTCAACTGGTCGGTCTCCATCTCGTGGGGCTACACCGTCCAGCTCTACCCGAACCTGGTGGCTGTCCACGACCTGCAGGTACCGCTGCAGACGTTCAAGACGTGGAGGACTTTCAGCGAGGGTCCGTTCACGTTCAACACGAGGCCCACGGGGCCTGACCCGTGCTCCATCCCAATCGTGTTCATGCTCGACAAGGTGCAGAGCATCGGGACGTGGGGGACATTGACGGTTTACAAGAGGATGGAGCCGGCGGTGAAATGTAGGAGACCCAACTTCATTCGGGCTATGTCGGTGCACAGAGTGGTCATCTCGTCTGTCGTAATGGAGCCCGATTACTGGTCTAAGGTAAGCTCTCTGTACATTTATACAGCATCGTTGCGGATAACGTATGGCATACAATTACGTGGTCAAGAATGAGTGTTTTGATTTGGTTTTCGGATTGCAGGCGCCAAGAAGGCAATGCAGTGATCTTGTGAATGGTGGTGGAAGAATGAGGGGTGAGACTCTGCAGATAAGGGTTAGAAGGTGTGGGGATAGGGAAATTGTTAGCACTGTAGAGTAGACTAGAGGCGGCAAGCTGAGTTCTTTCGTGGGCAAATGGTTGTTCGGAAAGAACAGATGAAGCGACGAAAGGAGAGTAGGGTGAATATATAGTAGAAAAATTATTAATAAGAGGTGCTCAAATGTGTAGAATTATGTTGGAAACACGTTTTCTAAGGAAAACGAGTTTCTATATTATCATTATTATTAGGTTTTATTAAATATGGTTAGTAGTCTTCTAGTAGAATTAGGTTTATTCTTAGGGTTTTCTAGTATTTCCCTATATATATGTACTTTGGGTCATTCGTCAGATTAAGCAGAAATTAATAAGAAAAGTCATCTCCCCAAATCCCTAATCTTCTCTCAATCTCGTCTATCTTTCTCTCTAAAGGTTTCGGCCATTCTATCTCTATTCTTCCCCAAATTCTCTTCTCAAATTCCTAAATCCCCAATTCTGTTCTATAAACCCTAAATTCCCAATCTCTAGATCTGATCAGGAGACCCGTAGGAAAGTTGTTTCCTACATCTGGTATCAGAGCCTGGTTTCGAGAATTGAGTTCACCACAACTCTCAACCGGGGACGATTTCTACAACTGGTTCGACGATGAGCTCTTCAAAGCTCTCGAACCTGTCGTGGGCAGAATTGCGGGACAGAGCCCGCCGCATCGGCCGCCGTTGGCTGCCGGAAGAGCCGGCGGTCGAGCTGTCTGGCGTCGCCCCAATCGCGCGCCCTTCTCCACCTAAGACCGCAACTGCAGACATAGATTTTGAAGATTGGTTGGAACAACCTGCGTTCCTAATCGAGAAAGAAGCGGCTGCCGCGACATCGCCTCCACCGTCGTCGTTGGTAGCTGTTCCTCTGGCCGCCGCCGCTGCCGAGAACATCAAACAGGCGCAGCTTTTGGTGATCACCACCGAGCCGCTGAGAAAAGAAGCAACGACTCCACCATCGGTAGCTGCTGCAACTTCTACAACGCCGGCGGGTTCGGCGACGGCAAACAAGGAAGAAGATCCGGGAGCAAGACGGCCCATCCCACCGCCGAGAAAACCGCCAGACAATCTTGCGATGTCGTCACCGGCAACGCTAGGAACTCCTCTGGAGCCGCCATTAAAGTTAGACCCCGCCTGGGTCTTGACCGCCGAGAAGGCGAACCGGCGGGTTGACTTGCCGACGCCAGGAATTGAACCGCCTACAACATTCTTCGTGGCGCCAACCAGCGGAGAAGAAGAATCGAGGACGAGCAGCAGGGCGTCGCGAATCGCGACGACGAAGGACGGGAGGCGGGTGAAGAAAACGAGCGTCGCAGCCTTGATGCCAACCACCCACCTAGTCGATTGCTCGGCGCTGGTCGAGACGGTGGAGATGAATCCGCTCAGGACGACGTCAAAAGGGAAGATTGAGCAGAGGGACGACACGGCACCACGGGTGACAAAGGTGGAAGCTGATGGGGAAGTCTCGTCGGGGACGGAAATCACGCTGGGATTGCAGCGACCCTCGGCGGTTCCCTCAGCAACGGTGACCAGCACGATCAAGATGAGCGTGGAATTGATGGACGCGTCCGACGTGGAGAAAGAGCCGGAGATGAAGACGAAAGCCAGTTGGCCTCCGTGTCCCCTGCGTGGTTGCTCGTCGTTGGGGGAGTCAAAGAAGTCGCCGCCGATGAGGGTGTGGCGGCCGACAAAGAAGACGAAGGAGAAGCGGGGTCGTCATGGTCACCGCCGTTCGTTGAGGAAGTCGCAGAAGAAAGAAGCGGAGCAGGTCCGCCGTGAGTCTTCGTCGTCGGCGCGAATCGCGCGGGTGACGTCGACCACCCCAGCCACGGCGACGATGGGCGAGATGCCGGAGAAGAAGGAGAGGGGTGGCCTGTTGATGGACGGGACGGAGCTGAAGGCGGCGGCGGAGTCGTGCTGGCCGCCGTGCCGTCGGAGAGAGTGCTGGCCGCCGTGGAACGAAGAGCTAGAGAGGGAGAGTGGCAACAGACTTCCTTCCCTTGCAACCCTAGGCCGCATCCTTCAACGGGCCGCATCCGTGGGCCGAGCGGCTGATCAGGTCGCCCGGGCGGGTTGGGCTGTCTCTTATGACGGGTCAAAAACAGTGGGCCAAGGTTATAAGTTGACTTGGAAGAAGGAAGAGTTTGGGTGTGGGCTGAACAAGATAGAACAAGATGGTCCAACAGCTACAAACCCAAACGGAATTGAAAAGAAGAAGGGCACTATTAGGCTTAATGGTTTGGGTTCTAGCTCTTTATTGCAAATAATTGTGGGCCGAGATCCAGTGGGTTATCTTGAGGACTTTGTTTTGCAGGAACAAAATATCAAGAAAGAAGGAAGTGGGCTCATTGGGTTAGGAGATGAGTTTTCAACAAAGTCCTTTTCAAAACAATTTGGAGAAGGGGGAGCCCAAAAGAGCTTATCTTCACCACCCGGTCTATGGAGAAATTTATGGATCATATCCTCGAAGACCAACTAATAGAGTACAAGGAAAACCAATTCTCCAATTCTTATTTCGTGGAATTCGAAAAAGAAGAGGAAGAATTGTTCGATAATGAGCTGGGACGTAGGTGCCGCGTGGCGGGACAAGAGTTGTGGAAAGTGGAAGTTGTTGGAGAAGAGTCGAAGGACCTCGGAGCTATTGAAGAAGACTTCCTTCGCGAGCTGGAGCACAACTGGAAACGAAGAAAGCGGAAGGTCAAGAAGAAGTGGGTTGAGTCGATCAACCTTGAGGGCAAGGTTGGTCTCAAGGGGAATGGGATGTTGGAAACACGTTTTCTAAGGAAAACGAGTTTCTATATTATCATTATTATTAGGTTTTATTAAATATGGTTAGTAGTCTTCTAGTAGAATTAGGTTTATTCTTAGGGTTTTCTAGTATTTCCCTATATATATGTACTTTGGGTCATTCGTCAGATTAAGCAGAAATTAATAAGAAAAGTCATCTCCCCAAATCCCTAATCTTCTCTCAATCTCGTCTATCTTTCTCTCTAAAGGTTTCGGCCATTCTATCTCTATTCTTCCCCAAATTCTCTTCTCAAATTCCTAAATCCCCAATTCTGTTCTATAAACCCTAAATTCCCAATCTCTAGATCTGATCAGGAGACCCGTAGGAAAGTTGTTTCCTACAAATTATAGCAAACCAATTGTGCTCCAGATTCATGGAATGTGGAAACAGTAGCAGTATAACTATTCACCCAGTTTCCTCCCCTGAAATTGTTACTGGACAGACAGGTGCTCAATGACTGATGGCTGATATTGGAAAGGTGGAAAGGCAAGCTTTTTCTTGCATCTTTAAAACTGTTCTTTTTGCTGCATCATTAGTTTACTTCACGCCCACCAAATATGGTGTTGTGTTGCTTTACCTAAAGTGATGGCACTAAGTCGAAAGTATTCACCAACTAAGTGGAGCATTTAGCATTAGAATTAGAACAAATAGATTTAAGACGCAGATGTGTCGGTGCAAAGATGTTTGCCATTTCTTCAGCCATGTTCTGGCATATGACGTCAAGCATCCCAATATGATCACAAATCACAATCAGCATATATTCCCCCCAGTTCGAAATAGTGCAGTATAATGTGGAACGGCACAGTTTTAGTTGGTGATCCTGAGATTGAGTTGGAAGGGATGAAGATGCAGGGAGAAATTTGGTTGCAAAATTGAATTAAGGTATTTGTACGTGAACTTGTGAACTAGTTACACAAGTTGATGGCCAAACCTCAGCTTAAAGGGTGGAAATTTGCAACTCTTTCTATGGTGCCGATAGATGGCTGATGCCTCCTTTCCAATGTGCTTCGGCAAGGAGTACTAGTTGCAAAGCAATGTCTCTCGTGTCGCATTCCCAGTTGTTGGATTCACCCTGGAAGAAAGGGACTTAAGTTCATTGCAGATACAAAAGTACAGAACAAAACTAGTGCAGAAGCATCACGAATTGATTTCATCTTTACCCATCTGCAACTTTGCAAAGATATTCTCGTTGATCTTCCCGTAGAGGTACATCAGTGAAATCTGGTAAGCGAAGGCCATCGTCATTCGTCCATCGACTCAAATAGACACTACAGATCTGATGACATGATGTAACCAAACCAGTGTGCTGGCATACCTGCTCCTGTTATATTCGAGCCTCTAAAAGAAGTGTTGCCTGTAGCTAGTGCGCCTTCCAGGTTAGCATTGCTCAAATTGACCTGTTAACCCGTTATCCAAGTTGTAAGCCACAAGATTCTCGCAAGGACTAAACTGAAATGACTGGTTGTATGAAGTGGAAGATTTAACCTTTGTGACATTGGCCAATGAGAAATCCGCAGATCTAAGGTCTGCATCCGAAAGATCAGCCCCTGTGTTTTCCCATCCAAGAACAGTTGGATTAAACTATGATGGCATGATCAAGGTTTCTACAACGACCCAACAACAAACCAGCATTCGGAGGCATCTCTCCAGGTGCAAAATTTTACCTGTCAAGTCAGCATCGAAGAAACTAGCCCCGAGCAACTTTGCACCTTTGAAATTCGCTTGCCTTAGAATCGACTGGACCAACGTAAATAAACAAAAGCCCATCAATCAAATAGCAGTTCCAAATTTTCATCTCAATGGGGGAATACATTTCAATACAAAACAGCATCAATGAAATTGTACAGTTTTGAAGTCCTGCTTGATCAAAGTCTTGCCGCTGAAGTCCATGCCCGTTAGATCCTGTCCTCTCGTCACTCCAGCGCCGTAAGGCCCTCCTCCCTGCATAAACACCCGCATTACCAAGTTACAAACTAATTCACCCTTCTCAAACTCCCAAATCACAGTATTTAACCAGGTTTACTTCACCTTGTAAGCGAGAGCTGGGTCAGATAGGAAGACAGAAGCAGATAGCACCGCAAGCAAGCCTGTTTTAGCCAAGTCTCGTACAACCTGAAGGAACAAACAATTCGGAAAACAGGGGAAACCCCAATTGGAATTCGGATAGGAAAAAACAGAGGAAGCAGAGTGGTTCCCGGAGGGAAGTAGAAAGGGAACAATCGAGACCTGGGATCGGGAGGGAGAGAGTGAAACTGACGCTGGAGGAAGTTTCGGGAGGAGGGGAAGAGCTGGTTTCGTTTGGATTTTCGCCGAACAGAGAGAGCTGTTCAGGAGAAGAGCACCCATTTTTCTTCTTTGCTCCCCCGATTTCCTAACCTCCGAAAGAGCTTGAGCAGACAGCAGTGAGCAGACAGCAGAACTGAGAGTCTCTCGCTCTTCTCTAGAGAGGGAATTTCCAAATGGATAATGATTTGTCCTTTCGCGACTTAGGTCGTGCCACGTGGGTATTGTTGGGGAAAACTTTGCTGCCTTGGGCTCGTGAATGAAGGAAGAAGGGAATATCCAATAACGGCCCGTGGTAGAAAAAGTAAATGAATAGCCCACTGGTTTTGTTATCTTTTGGGCTTGAATGGGCTTGGTTATGTTTATCATTCAGAACCCTGTCCAGTCACTTGCTGCTGGCGATTTTTCCTTTTTGTCACAGCTCATTCCTCTACCAAAGACCTTTGACCGTTGTACACAAAAAGAAACAAATACGTTCGGTGAGTAGATGGGCTAAGAAGGAAAGGATGCCAGCTAAAATGCAAAGCGGTGGGCCGGTGGCCTAGTCTGTTTAGTGTTTACACTACTTTACACCGATAAGCCCAAAAGAAGTGTACATCCACATTAGGATCGGCCAAGTTCTCCATCAATGATAAAACGTTATCATATACATCACAACCTGACAACTTGGACCTGCATTATGATCAAGGTTGTCATGGCTCAATGACGAGCTCAACATTAATTGATGCATCCGATATTGAGCAGTAGGAGGGTAGAGATAGAGGAGAAATGAGAATTGGACATGCGGGTTAACAGAGTATAAGAGACAACTGAGAGGAATTAAGTGATCAAGAATACAATAGGGATTATGGATTTTCAGATAAATAAGAGAGTATGGATGGCTAAATAATATTTGATTTAGTTCTTCGGTGGATCAATATGACGAAATGGGTAAATGACACAATATAGATGGTAATCCAGAATTGCAATTACCTAAACAGTAAACATAATAAAATATCAAAACATAATCACGAATAATACAACACGTCTGATACCCAAATTAAAAATAAGGGTTTTATCGCGTGAAAATACCACTACTCCTAAACCTGGAGATCATAGATTCAAATTTATTTACTATGACGCCAAACTATAAAAAATAACCTATATCATCCTTATTAAGAAAATAATAAGTATCTCCTTGTAGGGTGATGAGAGAATTATGTTCGAAGTCGTACAACGTGTGCAAAAAGACTGACAACGATCATGCCCTGTTGTAAGGTGGCCATGATACTGATCCAAAGATGTAACAACAAGTCTTCCACAAAACTAAAAGTATTCTGATGTTAAGGTCAACGGAGACGAAAGAAAATTGAATAAGTGTGGTCACTAATTTAAAGAACTATAATGGATCAACATATTGAAAGTAAATATTTTTTTTATGACGACTAGACTAGGTAAGAAATTGAACTATTAACATTCGTGATCGAGATATAACTACTTAGTTAGTAGGCCATGTGGACTTTCCCAAATTGAAAGGAACATTAAATCACAATATGGAACTATAAACCAATAGCTCAGTGTATATTTTTTTTCCAAGTTATACCGAAGTACAATAGTTAAAACCTCTACCCGAACCCCGAAAATACATCAATGCAACCACCCTACAAAATCAAAGGACGCTATCTCTACAGGGGACAGCAACAGAGCTTGTCTTGCCACTCTATGGGCAGCCCAGTTGGCAGTCCTCGGAACCGCACTAAAAGGAATACACGAGGAACAGGACCTCACTAACTGAAAACAATCACGAAGCAAGGGCCCACCCACCGAATCTTCGCAGCATCTACCATCAAGTTGGCGAATAACTTCTTCGGAATCTCCTTCTATGATGACGAGGGGAAGACTTCGAGAGATAACAAGAGAAATGGCGTCCCTTGCGGCCAACAGTTCAGCAAGATAAGGATTCGAAACTCCAAGATGATGGAAACCCAAGGCCAAAAAGACTTGCCCATCTGGCCCTCGAGCGACGAGACCTGACGAGCAACCCGGGGCACGAACAGCAGCATCGAAATTGATCTTTATATAACCATCCGGGGGACCAATCCAATTGGCAGGGCGAGACGACTGAGGGTGGGGCAAAAATACCAGAGGCTGGGGGGGGGGAGAGAGGAAAATTCTTGGACTTGAAAGAAGAGCTGACGGGCAAGCGAAGTGGCTAGTGGTTGAGTGAATTCAAATACCACTTTATTTCTAGATTTCCAAATTCTCCAAAGAAGGCAAATACAGGGGAGATAGTGGATTTGGAAGTTTTCCGAGTTCATAACATGTCGCCACCAAATACCAAAGTTATCAGTTGGGGCGGAACTAATTAAACAGCTTAAACCCACCATATTCCAGAGTTGTAGAGCAACGGAAGGCTTGTACCAGTTTAATTGCTTTAGGGGATTAATTAATTATTATATTAAAACCATTAATTTCCGTAACCTCCATGATAAATATCATAGTAATACTTATCAACTTAAACGGAAGAAAAAATGATTTAAGAAGGAAAGAAAACTCGGCTTATATATATCAGAGATCCCATAACCGTAACAATAATTATTATTATCTCAATCAAAACACACCATAATGACAATAATAAATGAATTATGAACCGGTGGGGTGGCAGAAAGCTAAAACTCCAAAAAGCTATAATGGCACCAAACCTTAAAGTAACTTTACGGTAAGGAGGTTTTTTTTTTTTTTTTTAATATTTTGCTTAATTCCCCATCCTTATTACCGAAACTGCAATTTGTAATAACCAAGCAAACAGCAGTATTACAGCAATAATTACATTTTTCTGTAATTAATTAGCGCTGCCAACCTTCAATAACCGACCAAAATCCAGTGAGCATGACTTCACTTCCTTCTGCCGTTGTAACTCAAATTTAAATGAATTAAAGTGTAGGACATCAAATCTATTAAGTAGACTTAATGGTCAATTAATTATACCACGAAACGTTTAGGGTCCTCTATCCCGTAATTGACGTTTCGGATAATTAAATGTCCAGAAACTCTCATTGGATTGGGGTTCTCCGACGAGCGATGAAAATTTTCCGGCGAGGTCGCCGTTTTGGCCGCGATTCATTCATCTAGCAAGCTAACTAACCCAAACGAGTCATTGAGTCAGAGTTTACTTTGGATTTCAATCGCTGCCGGTAGGGAGTCCAGGAAACAACTGAGGAATTCCAAAAATAATTTGGGCTATCCGTCCAATTTATCGTCGTCGGTGTCGATTTTATAATCGGTCGTTGGGTGCCGTGGAATGAAAATTGAAACTCCCAAAAGCACAGCAGGGGATTTGAATAATAAAAACCAGAGGAATAGAAATCCTCAATTAACTGAGTTCCTTCAAAGAACACAGATATGATGTTTACAAACCACATAGCTTGAAACGAACAACTCCGCAAGAGAAGGAGTACATCTTCTGGAAAAGGAAGCTTAACCAATCCAGAAAAGATCGGTGTAACCGGCTATAGGCCGTAACGACGAGTGTCGTCGTTTGCTCACCACAATATTGGTGGTTCGAGTACATCACCGAGTAGGCCCGCTTCTCGTCGAGGGTGCCGTCGAATCGGAGACCGTACTGCGACAACAGGAGATCCAGCCTCCACTCTTCCATCAATTTGTAGTCGCGCTTTTCATTGGTGAACGGAAGAAAAAGAAAAACAGGAACTAACCAAAATTCTAAATATAATACAAACAATACCCTTTTTAAGTATTCTATATAATCGAGTCAGACTTGTTGTGGGTAAATTCACAAATTTGGATGTCTTAGTCTCGCACCGCACGCTCATACTTCCAGAAAAGAACATACAGAAGAAACCTTGGAGATTGGTGATGAGATATTGAGATTTCGGGGGTAAGGAATGGGCACAAGTAAGGTGGTCAGTGGTCAAACCATTTAAAAAGCAGGGCGTGATGGGTGCCTGCCTGCTATGTTGGTTGGTTTTTGGTGGTAGAGATATGTGTTTGGTTGGCGAGCGACGCAGAGAAGAGGACGGACTGTAGAATAGCGGCCCTCTCTCATCAGTCATCTCTCTCTCTCTTCTGCCTGCCTCTTCAATCTGCTCCTGGCTCACCCCTCAAGAGCTTGAAACTTGAACATAAAGCTAGCTAGCTAGCTAGCCACCCAAAGACAGAGAGAAAGAGAAGGGAAAACTTTGAACTAGATACAAACCTCCTTCCTCCCTCACTCTTTGCCCAGTTGCCGCACTCATCCTCATCATCACCACCACCACCGTCAATTAACCACGAAGAAAATAAAATAATATATATACACCACTTTTCCCCTGCGAGTCCCTCTCTCCCTTTTTCTCCTTCTTCTTCCTCTAATCTACTACTACTGTTCCCATCTCGCTGTCGCTACCGGAAAGGAAAAAGCAAAAACCATTCTTGTCCCATGATGACACCCAAAGTACATCTCTCAACTCAATCTCATCTTCTCATTCTTAAAATAAATCTGCACACTCTCTCTTCTGAGCTTTGCTTTTCCAGCAGCCGTACTAATTGACCCCGCCGCGACCCAGGCTAGCGCTTCCTTTCTTTACTTCAACGCTTCCCCTCTCTCTCTCTCTCTCTCCTGTATATATATCAGAAGGAAGTTGCAGCTTTGGTTTTGGTTGATGTGGGTTTTTTTAGGTCAGATCTCTGAACAAGTACAACTGGGTTGGTGGGTTTTTTTATAGGAACAACAAGTACTCTTTTCCCTACCCCTCCTTTGGATCTGACTGCATAAAGAGGAAAAGAACAAAGCAACAACAGTACAGATCCATTGATGGCCTCTACCTACCTTACTAGGGTTTCTTAGTTAGGGCATTGTTGTACAGGATCATATCTGCAAATCAGGAGGAGAAGCTAAGCTCAAAGAGGTCAGTAGTTGGTAGAAATTTCACTCCTCTGTTTGGTCATTTTAGCTGCAGGCGGTAAATTCTTCTCTGGGAGATAAGGTTTTCATTGGATTGGTCCATGTGCATATCTATCTATCTACCTATCTGCATCCTCGTTTGTATCCATCTCCAATTCCAAATGTGCTTTCAATTCAAACTTCGCCACTCCCCTCCTCCCAGCTAATTTACAAACCCTCCATTTCCAATACCAAACCCCTTTCCTGTCTTTTGCAACCCAGAGCCGCAGACCTCTACCTGAAGAAAGAAAGAAACCCACCCAGCTAGCTTATACATATAGCTATAGATTTCAGTATTTAGTACTACTCTACATCTATCCAGTACTCGAAAAGGAAGAAAGGAAGAACACCGATTACTCAAGCTACATGGCTGATCATCACAATCGTTGGTGGGCTGGGAATGTGGCGGCGGCAGCTCCACAAGAATCCGCCATGGGACTCATGGACCGCCTCGGATCCGCCGCTCCAACCCGCCGACCCGACCCGCAGCAACAACTCCAACTCCACGGGCTAGTAGAAGAGCCGGATGTCAGCAGCAGCAGGGAAAACCCAGATTCCGGAGGCGGGAACGGCGGAGGAGGCGAAGGAAGCGGAGGCGGAAGCGGCGGCGGCGGACGAGCAGGGGGAGGGACGACGTCGATTCGGAGACCGAGAGGGCGGCCGGCGGGGTCGAAGAACAAGCCGAAGCCTCCGGTGGTGATAACGAAGGAAAGCCCCAACTCCCTCCGCAGCCACATCCTCGAGGTCGGCTCCGGCAGCGACATCGCCGAGAGCGTGGCCGGGTTCGCGCAGCGGCGCCACCGCGGGGTGTCGATCCTGAGCGGGAACGGCGTCGTAACGAATGTCACTCTGGGCCAGCCCGCGGCTGCCGGCGGGGTCATCGCCCTCCACGGGAGCTTCGAGATCTTGTCGCTGTCGGGCTCGTTCCTGCCCGCGCCGTCGCCGCCCGGGGCGGCGGGGCTGACCGTTTACCTGGCGGGCGGGCAGGGGCAGGTCGTGGGAGGGAGGGTCGTGGGCCCGCTGGTTGCTGCCGGCCCAGTTATGGTCATTGCGGCGACGTTTAGTAACGCGACCTACGAGCGGCTGCCGCTGGATGATCAGGAGGTGGGCCATGGGCTTGGCCCATCAGGCCCGGATGGGCTGCAATCGCATCATCATCAGCAACAGGGGGATCAGAATGTAAACAACAATAATAACGGGAGTGGAGGGGAAGGGAATGAGAATTCAGGGGGTGGGTCTGGTTCGCCGGAAGGGATGAGTAGTGCTACTGATCATCATCACCATCAACAGCAGCAGCAACAGCAGCATGGGTCGATTGGGTTCCCACCTCCGCCAATTTACAATTTGCCACCCAATTTGCTAGGGAATGGCCAAATGCCGCATGAAGTCTTCTGGGGTGCTCCGCGGCCTGCCAACTTCTGATAATCGTCATCAGCTAAGCTCCATCGATCTCCCTTCTTTAATGGTTAACTTGGTAGTTTTGGGGGTATATTCTGTGGGCAGGTTTGCTGGGTCTTTTTTTTTTCTTCTGTAAAAGTTAGCTTGACTGAGAAGGAAGGAAAACCAAGTGGGATAAGTAGGACTTGGATCATGTTTTGTATTTTGCACCCTGAATTTTCCCTGTTGTTCAAAGTTAGTCGGCTAATAATTAACATACAACTCCCTTACTCGGTCCAAATCAACATCTTCCCTTTTGAGTCATTTCGTTCTTTCGTATTGCTTGGTAATCGGCATGTGTCGGATTTTGCTGCATGCTGATAAGGGTTCGCGTCAGCTCGGGCTCATGAGATTGCAAGGAATGTGTATATAGATGACATGTTTCAGTGCTTTAGTTAAAGGAATGTGTATATAGATGACATGTTTGACATTGATTGAAGAAGAAAGAATGATGCAAGCAATGTCAGTATCAGTATTATCATGAACTGGCAATGAAGCTCAAATTGGGTTAGATTCATCTGCACCTCTTGATCAATTGGGGTTTTGCTTTGCCTGGAAATGGGTGTTTTTCTTTGTTTTGTCATGGGATGGGTTGGGGCTCCCACTGAGCCAAACTCGCATGCGGGAATATTTCTCACGATGTCTAGCTTGGGGGTTGGCCAAAGTTTTGATTCGTCACACGAACGAAGTGGGGACAGAGAGGGCCAATTCAACATTTCCCCCCTCTTTATTCCAATCTAGAGTTGCTTCTCGTGAGTTTGGGAACGTTATTTCACCTCGCTGTTCTTTTGCTTCATTGTTCTCGATGCAGAGGGGTAAATCTGCCGTGATTTAAGGTGTGTTCACAGTAACGTTCACATCTGATGTTTCCTTTTTAACTGATAGCAAATTGTTGTCTTTCAAACTGAACGGCTAACAAGTGGCTGGCTAGCTAAGCTTCGAACGGGCAGTCTGAGGTCTGAAATGAAACGCAACGAAGGAACAAGAGAGATCATCAGCCCAGCCCAGCCCTTCCTCCTGTTTGGTCAAAGGCGGTTTTGATGAAACCGATCAAGGTTTTGCCATCCTGACAGCTCAATCTTCTTCAACTCTTATCTTCAATTTGCTTCTGCCACGTTTTTTTGGGTTGATGGTCAAAATGGTGGTTGATGAAATCGTCAGTTAGTTGGCTGAGTTGTCAATTGAAAGGATAGAAATTTTGTGGAAGTATACTATGGAACACTTGTAGTAGTTGACGCCATGGCACTTCTATCTTAGCCAAAGTGAAGAGCTAGCTAGCGATCAGATATGTCTTGGGGATTCTTACGTATGATGGAAGTTAGCGGGGAGATAATTACGGTCGTATTTTGTTATTTGACTTTCAACTGATTCAGTGATTGTTATGTGTGTGAATCTTCTAATATATATAGTTACCTTGTACAAATTGCTCAACAGGAAAATATAAGCATACTGGAGTTGATTTTTGGGTCTAATTAGGTAACGATAAGTAAAAGCAAATAAAAGTTGATGAGGTTAAATCACTAATCATGAATATTATTATCGAGTAGACTTTTACGGTAAAGTTACACCTTCGTGAATAAGATTATTTGGATGAACTATTTGTGACAAAGCTACTTTGAGATCCCAGTGGCCAGTTATATAGCGAAGATGTGAAATCCTAAAGGACAGAGTAAAAATGTGAAGGGACATGTTAATCTAATGGGAGAGTAAAAATTATTAAAAAAAATTCTTATAAAAACTACAAATGCACAACAATTATAAACATGATTATAAAAAACCAAGTGTAATGTCTATTTTTTATCCAAACCTTTTTTCAGATTATTTTATATTATCCAAGCCTATTGAAATATTAAGAATTTGCCAAATGTTAACTTCCATTTAGCAATTTTGTTAGTGATATTGACTTAGCAACATGATACTGACTTGGAAGAGACTCATGAAGGTCAACATTCCAAAATTTTAGTATTTTAACTAAGAAAAGATTTACAAAATTATTAACATGAACGTAAAAATTGCTAATATTTTGATGCATTATGAAAGATTTGGATAACTAATAGAATTTTAATAGATTTGAATAATATAAAAGAATCTGAAAATGATTTGGATAAAATATAGACATTAACATTTTTTTTATAGAAATTCTCTCTCCGCGGTGTGGTTAAGGGGCATTTGTCAGTCTAGTTAGGTGTATATGTGCAAAACTAATATGATCTTGGTTCTGAGAGAAATCATATCTAAGTGTTTATATTAAATAACTTTTAATTCCACTGCACAATCAAATATGTTTCCTTGGTGAAATTTGATCGTTGGAAACCAAATTCGACCATTAGGCTGATCCCCAATTTTATACGCACAAATCGTGCATAAACAAAAACAAAAAAATATATCAAAACAAAACGTAAATAAAACAACTACAAGAACTCAACCAACAACACGTGTCCGTCTAGATTACAATGATAGAAAGGGCCTCCACTCCCGAGAGTGGATACTATGACTAAGGGGTTCCTAGTCATTTGACTAAGCTCTTTCTACTCTTTAGATCTAAACACACCAATATAATGGTTGAAAAGTGGGAAGAGATTTTTAATTAGTGACAGGAGTAATTTGAATATTATAAAAAATTACGAAGTATACAAATCGGCCTCACAAATAGTACAAACCATACAAACAATACAAACTAGAGCGGCAAAACATACAAACTGATTTACAAACAATGCAAAACATACGAATTATACAAACAATACAAATTAGATCGACAAACAATACAAAACATACAAAATAGAAAAACATACAAACAAGAATAATAACGATACTAATCGTATTGATACAAAATTACAAACCAAACTTACAAACATTAAAAAATAGTCCGACAAACATGACAAAATCGTCGTTGTCGCCGGAAGATACAGTCTGTCGTCGCCAAAAAATTCCTCGATCGGAAAATCGTCCAACTTTGCCGACCGCCGGAGAATCTCTCTCTCTCTCTCTCTCTCTCTCTCTCTCTCTCTCTCTCTCTCTCTCTCTCTCTCTCTCTCTCTCTCTCTCTCTCTCTCTCTCTCTCTCTCTCTCTCTCTCTCTCTTTTCTTGAGGGGCAGGGGGCTTTGTGGGTGGGGGATCGTATTGATACAAAATTACGGGAATGGATCAGGTGAGTAACCTTATGGTGAGTAACCATGAGTAACCCGTCCACATCAGCATGACATCAGCATCCTCTCTCTCATGGAAAGCCTTTAATTTTTCCCTCTTTAATCTTTGACGGACGATTTCTCACTCATTTTAAGTCGAAATTTAATTTTTTTTTCACAGTTAAATCAGATTAATTGTGCTCTTCAAAATGATATCCAATTTAATATATTTTTCGAACAAAAAAAATTGAACCATTTTTTTTTTTTTTTTCGTTGAATCAGTTGCTTTTATTCCAAGTAAACCGACACAACGAAGCGAGACGAATCTCGTGTACAGCGACTATCTCTACTATATCAAGCTCCTAACAGCTATGCAACTTTCAGGAAACAGGGGAAGACCAAAACGTGAGCCTTTCTACAAGTATCCCAACTCTTCTAATATTTCTCTGTAAATCCTATTGCCATAAACTATAAATTGCAAATCATCACGGATCAGGTCCGCCACCTGAGCAGGAGCACGACGCTGATTCCCATGAATCACTCCACATCTTTCTTTCCATGTATAAGTCACCATCAAGCACCACATCAGACCATGCCATTGTCGTGTTCCCGATGTCCCAACCTTCTCCATCGCCCTCACCATCTGCTCCCAGTCATTTCGCATCAGCTTTGCACACTGCAGTTCACCTGCAAGCTGTTTCCAATAAGAGCAATGAACAAACAAGTGATCTCTGCTTTCAATTGAGGAGCTGCAGAGCTGACATGATGCATCACTAATCTTCCCCCATCGCTGCAACTTATCTCTCGTAGTAATAGCCTTCTTGACAATTAACCATACTATTAGACTGCAACGCGGAGGACAGTTCTTGCCCCAAACCAAACTGTACCAGGTAACTTTGGGAGCTTTGTGTCGCAGGGTTTCCCATACCCTTTTTGTAGAATAGACCATCATTTCTTTCGAGTCCCAGTAAACAGTACCATTCTGAGTCTTCATCCAGGGATAGATGACTGACCTTAACTTTAGCAGTTTTCTCCAAGCCCACGAACTACTAGCTTGTACCCTTATTGACCACAAGTCCAAATCCCTGCATTTATATGTTTTCATCCATGCTACCCACAAGGTCCCAGAATTCATAAGAAACAGCCAAAGCAACCTTCCACAGCAAGCCTGATTCCAAGCTCCTAAATCCTTCACCCCTAAGCCCCCTTCCTGTTTAGGCAGAGAAATAAATTCCCAAGCCACTTTAGCCCTGCCTTCAGCCACACCATGCCATAAGAACTGTGAGCAGACTTTCTGAATCCGTTTCAAAGCAAGTTTAGGAATTACAAACAGTTGCATCCAGAACTGAACTATACTAAGAAGTACTGAGTTCAGGAGTTGTAACCTCCCTGCATATGTGAGCTTTTTAGCTCGCCACGATTTTATGCGCTTTGTGATTCTATCCACCAAATTATCAATCTCTGAGGAAGAAAGTTTACCTGCCAGAAGAGGCAGTCCCAAGTATCTGACTGGTAAGGCCCCTTCCTGAAACCCAGACAGCTCCAGTGCATTGGTTTTGTACTTAACTGACTCACCCCCAAAATATATTTCGCATTTAGCTGGATTACACTTGAGACCTGACACCCTATAGAACTGGTTGAGAACCTCCCTGACCTGAACAATTGCTTGAGCAGAACCTTTAGTAAATATGAGGAGATCGTCCGCAAAGCATAAGTGATTCAACTCGACTTTCTTACACAGAGGGTGAAAAGGCACTGCTCCTGATATACTAGCCTCTCTCAAGAGAGTGGATAAGCCTTCCATGGCAATGGTAAACAGGTAGGGTGACAAGGGGTCACCCTGCCTAACTCCTTTCTTAG